CGTCGCTCGAACTTTCACCGAATAATTCCCCGCTGGAAGCTCCTTGAGGACGTACGAGTTGCCAGCCTTGGTGAAGTCCCGCCTCGTGATGCACACCACGGTCGGTTTATACTGAAAACGCCAATTTTCCAATCTTTTCATTCTCGATTGAAATCGAGAGAGAGAGAGAGAGAGAGAGACTCACGTTCTGTATGTCGACCCTCTTGTACTCGATCTGATAGGTGATGATCAGGCCGTTGGGCTGCGGTGGCTCGTCCCATTGAAGCGTGACCATGGTGAGGCTGTTGTTCTCGCCCGATATGCTCATCTTGAACGTATTCGGGGGAATGTTGTCGGCGCTCTCCAACGGCAACGTGCGATACGTCCTCATGCTCTTGGTCGAGCATTTCTTGTAAGTGTCGTTCATCTCCTGCGCCCTGCACGCCTGCACCTCGATGTTGTACGCGGCGAAGTGGCGGAGATCTTTCATCACGAAGGAACGATTCGTGCTTGGCACGTTCTCCTCGAATGTTATATACGTTCCGTTCACCTTCTTGTTCACGGGCTGCCGATACACGAGTTATGAGAGGACGAGAGGACAGTTTTTTTTTTCCGTTCTTGGAAAGTAATGGGAAAAAAAAAGAAAGAAAAAAGGAAAGAAAGGAAAGATATCGATCCTGATTACCTGATCCAACGATTTCGTTTTCCTGAACAATATATCCGAGACGTCCCGCTTCCTCCTCGGTTTACGTTTCACGTACACTTGGTTGTGCAACGCGTCCTCGAAATCGATCGCGCTCGACGCCTCTTTCTCCCTTAGAGATTGATCGGTCTCCCGATCGGCGCACTCGCAGGTCCCCGTTTCGGGCACCATCTGCTCCTTCTCCTCCTCCATCCGTTTCCTCTCCTCCTCGGCGAGGGTGATCGGTTTCTTGTCGGACAGCATCATGGCTGCGGAGGAAAAAGAAGAAAAATCGGTATGGAGAAAGTCTACCCTCTCCCCCCCCCCCTTCCGCGAAAGGAAATTTACTCACGTTCCTCGCAATAGTTTCGCTGATCGATGAAATTCGGATCGTCCGGCTCCCACTTGCCCGTGATGCGGTAATGGGTGAGGTGGGCGTTGTTGTGGAGGGGCGGTAGCCAGGACATGAGCAACTCGCTGCTCGAGTTGCTCCACGTGATGAGAGACCTGGGCGAGCTGGGCGCCTCGGGCATGGTCCTGAAGTACGTGAGGTTGCTCTGCGCCCCGGACCTCTCGGTCGCGATCGTGTAAGTCTTCACGTAATAGGCGTACTGGGTGTACGGCTTCAGCTGGGACAAGTAGTGGGTGTGCACGCTCTTCTCCTGCCTGCTGTCCATCAGGGACGAGTTGGTGCTCGCGGAGACGTCGTCCACCTTCCAGCCGTCCCCCCCGCACGCGTCCCTTCCGTCGTACATGGTCACGTTCCTGTTGGGCGCCTCGATGAAGTAAACCACGTAGCCGAGCAGCGATCTCGCGTCGTGGTGGATGAACGGCTCCCACTCGATCACCGCCCCCCACGGCGACTTCTTCCCCACCCTCGTCCTCAACTCGGTCACGTTGCACGCCACCTTGTCCCCGTTGCTGTTCGGCGCCACCTCGTAATCCGTGAACGGGCCCAGGCCCGCCTTCTCCCTCAGCATCTCGATCTTGTACAGGCACAGTTTCGGATTCAGGTGGAAGAATATCTTCCCCGGCTTCCCCTCCTTCGACAGTATCCTCATCTCCTTGTGCAAGCTCCAGTCCCACAACTCCTGCAGATTCTGATTGTCCATCACGAGCAGGGTGTACTTGGAGTTGTCGATGTCGTTGCCCCTTATCACTCGAAGATTCTTGAGGAAGTTGAGGGATATGAGGGGGAAGCTGCGCACGATCTTCAGGTAACCGTCTATCTCCTCTATCGTGCTCAGCCNAATTCCCGGCCTCGTCGCATGCGTTGTTCTCGCACTTCCGGTCGCAGACTGGAAAAAGCCAGGGAATCGTCAATCACCTGGGTGGACGGAGAGAGAGCTGCTACGCTTTTTCCTTCCAAAGGGATGGGAG